AGACACTCAGTCCAGCTCATCAGTAATTTAATTATAGCCCAGTCACCTCCCTTTGTGCCCTGAGACAATCTGACATTCACATTGAAATGGCAGCCTGTTGGGACAAAAGGAGAGACGGGGGACGGGGAGATAACGGCCCTGCTGCCCTCTGGGGTGGGATGGGGTCTAATTAGCTCTGGGACAAGTGAGAGATTAAAGGCTCTTGTGCTGTTTTGTCCACGGCGCTGCGCTCCGGTGGGTGGGGCTCGGCTCTGGCGTTCGGTGCTGGGACAGGGGGTTCCTGCTAATCAGCTGGGGTTCCTCCGGGGGGGATGCTCCTGCCCTGCCTGTCTCTCTCGCCAGCTCTGCTGGGGCTCAGACTGGGGGTCGGAGGAGTCTGGTCTGGGTGTCCAGCCAGCCTCCTGTCCAGTCTCCGTCTCCGGGACGGGCTGGGGAACGTCGGATTGTGTGTTTTAGGTTTTTGTCGCCAATAACTGTCCCGTATGGGAATACAACGTGTGCGTGTGGGGGGGACAGTTCAGTGGTGCCGGGGTGTCTGCGGTGTCGGATCTTGGCAGGGGTGGGGTTCAGGGGTTCTGACCTGACCCAGACACGGGACCGCACTTAGTGGTGTGGCGGCCGGCCAGGGGCGAGCAGGGCTCTTGGCACAGAAAGGAGCTGGGAGGAATGTTTCGGAGTTTTGACTTGGGTTCAGGGGTCAGAGCAGGGAGCAGTCTGAGAAGTGTCCCGCTCTGCGGAGGAGGGGCTGGGGAGATCGGGTTACCTGTGTCCCCCCGAGGGGCTGAGAGGGGGCGCCTGTGGAGCCAGACTGTCTCTGCCCAAAATCAGGGGTCCCTGGACAACGGCTAACGAGAGGGAGAAGGGGAGCACGCTATGAGCTAATGAGGCAGAACTAAAACAGCATCATAAACCGAGAGGGCGGGCGGACAGCCCTGTCTGCTGACCGGGCAGAGGGGAGCGAGGGATTGTGCAGGAGGAGGAGAAGAGATGAGTGAGAGAGACGGGGAGGAGGGGTGGGAACAGAGCAGTCGGCACCACGAAAATTGCTAGGTACCTGAAACCTAACACCTTAAAAACACACGCGTGCCGCCTAAGAAAACACTCTGGAGACGAGCCGCAGTCGCTGTCTGAGCAAGAGAGCACAGGGGTTCGGGACAGCCTACACAAACACCTCTCTCTCTCTCTCTCCCTCCCAGAGCACGCAAGCAAGCAGGCAGGCAGGCATGGACCTGCCCTGCACAGCTGCCTCTCTCTGCTCCGCTCCAGGTTTTGCTGCTAGACAGGGCTGTGGGGCTCCAGGGCAGGCCCTAGCCGAGGCAGAAAAGCAAATATTGTTTTAAGCTCTCTTGTCTGTCAGTTCGCATTTACTGAAGTGGGAGAACCAGAGACCCGTGTCCCCGCACACTGGATTACAAGCTCTGCTGCACTGCTGGCAGACGGGAAGAGGCTCTGTTTTGTGTTTATTCTTACCCCAACAAAAGTGAACCAGACTCCCAGTGCACAGCAGCCTGATCCACTCCAGGTGTTACACTGGTGTCAGTCAGACTCCCAGTGCACAGCAGCCTGATCCACTCCAGGTTTTAC